GGAGCAGCTTAGACCTAGGCCTTCTATTTTTATTATTTTTATATGCAGCGCTTTTCCACATGAGAAGACTGGGACCTAAGCAATTTGGGGACGGGGCACCAAATGCTAGCCAAGTAAAGGCCTAGGTCTAGGCTGGGGACTTCTCCAATGCACTGACACATGAGCGTACCGGAAGGAAAAATTAGGGGGGCGCAAAGAAATTTGCCCGACTTTTCGGGATTGTGTACGACTGGTACCTAAAAAAATTTTTCCGGAAAAATTATTTCGGCGACATCCCCCCCCCCCGCCAAATATTTTTCGGTCAGTGTACCATTTTAGGGGTCAAAAAAATTTTCCGGACATACCAAAATTTTTCGGAACATCACACAAATTTAAAAAAAAAAAAAAAATTGACCACAAAATTGACTGAATTTTCCACTAAATTGACAGAATTTGTCCCATTTATTTTTATTACAAACCAAAATTGCCCGACTGTTGATCGAATATTGCCCGACTGCCCAAAAAACTGGGGGGGGCTACCGCCCCCCCCCCCCGCCCGGTACGCCTATGCACTGACATACAAAAGACACAAAACATCACACGCATTATATGCGTGCACCAGAAATAGAGGATATTAGACGGTTGCGACGTAATATGGATTTTATGTTCGAGTGGCAAAAACAGTAACTCACGAGTGAGCGCAGCGAACGAGTGAGGCTTTGTTTTTGACACGAGAACATAAATCCATATCTTCTCGCAACCGTTTAATAAACAGAACATTCTGTTTATTATATGGACTTATTCAGAGTGACAACAACACACGCAAAGACGACATGCAAACAAGCATAGGCGTACCGGGCGGGGGGGGGCGGTAGCCCCCCAGTTTTTTGGGCAGTCGGGCAATATTCAATCAACAGTCGGGCAATTTAGGTTTGCAATAAAAAAATGGGACAAATTCTGTCAATTTTGTCTAAAATTAATTCATTTTTTGGCAAATTTTGTGATTTTTCGAAAATTTGTGTTATGTTCCGAAAAATATTGGTTGTCCGGAAAATTTTTTTGACCCCTAAAATGGTACACTGGCCGAAATTTTTTTGGGGGGAGGTCGCCAAAATAATTTTTCCGGAAAAAATTTTTTGGTACTAGTCGGGCAGAATCCCGAAAAGTCGGGCAATTTTCTTTCCGCCCCCTATTTTTTTCCTTCCGGTACGCCCATGCAAACAAGCACGCCAAAGACCAGAATAAGAGCGATATTTTTTAAAATTATAGTGCATAGAATAAATTTTACTTATCTCAAGATGTCTTTTAAATGTTTTCGTTTTATTTCCAACGTTAATTTCGTTTTATATACGAACCAAAGACCATTTGTATTTTCAAAACAACAGCAATGAAAATGGCGGGAAATTTTCGAACTTCGTATGTCACTCGCAAGCGTGAAATACGGAGAATACGCTCATATGGTCCCAGATGTAGTGACGTTGAGTTCTGCGAGTGTTCATTTAGTTTCCAGTAAAACACCATTGACCATTGTCCATATAATAATATACAATATCTCGCGGCATGGTCTACTTTCCAGACCACGTTGAAGATATAAGAAATCCATTAAATAAATAATGCTTATAAGTAAGCCACAAACGAGAGACCCCAGACTCATATAGAGGTCCTATTACCTATCCCAATATTAAAATAAATCAGGAATATAATTGTTTTTGTTTGTGGAAACACCACGTAAATTTATTACTACAAAGCTTTCGATCCGTAAGCCCGGATCTTCATCAGTGCTAATAAATATGTGACTTGTTTAATTCACACGCTCGAGAAAGCCGAGCAAGATAAATCTGCTGTGGCTAAACATACTTGGACTTACGACCATCGTATAAAATGGGACGAAGCAACCATTTTGGCGATTGATAGTCATAAGTTCTCTCGCAAAATGAGAGAGTCAATTGAAATTGAGAAGCACAATACTATAGATCAGGAGGGAAAGCCACTAGATAGTACGTGGCGTGCTCTCTTTAATGTGCAACATTAATTTCTCTTGTCTTGGATGCGCGCGCGTTAATTGGAATCACTTCATTACGTTTGAAATGACGTGGTTGATGTGCTGTTTAATTAAATTTCAAATGACGCGAGCCAACAGATCACGTCACTCTTGTATATAAAAGAGCGTGTGAATTAAATAAGTCACATATTTATTAGCACTGATGAAGATCCGGGCTTACGGATCGAAAGCTTTGCAGTAATAAATTTACGTGGTGTTTCCACAAACAAAAACAATTATATTTTATCGCCATGCAAACATTCAAAGAACTTAAATCAGGAATAAATACGTAAAATTAAACAAATGTTAGAAAGTAACGAAATACTTCGCCACAAAATGAAAATAACGAAGTAAAACGTTACTTCTTAAACCGACTTCGTTCCAAGTGAAAGTACTCCAGAAAAGCCGATCCTGTTCGTTCGTGCCGCCTCTAAAGCCTGGCCAACACGATGCGGCTGTACGTATACATGCTGCATACTTCTCAAAAATAGTACTCAAGTACAGTAACGAAGTACATTTACTTCGTTACTTGACACCACTGCATACGAGACAAGAATTTCTCCATCGTCGATTTCTTTCTATCGAACTTGTCAGAAAATTAAGGGGGACAGAAATAGTGTATTTGTTGATAGAAGGTGGTTTTAATTTCTTGTCTAACAATTCCGCTAGCATATAAGTAGCAATGGCAGAAAGGATGGCGCCCATTGCTGATTTTCGTTTGTGGGTCTTAGGAAGGCGGTATAAATTGGCTAGACTCGAACCTTTCAGGCATATGGAATCAGGAACTTTTTTGGCACTTGGCAGGATATTTCGCACAATGCTTTACTCCCTCTCTTTCTGCAACAGAGGATGGTATTATTTTATACGTCTACCTCTCGATTTGGGTCGCTGACAGCACCAAATTTCCCCTCGTTGTTAATGGACAGGTACTGACAGTCCTTGCAATTTTCGACGGAAAATGGTAATTGCCGCGATTAAATTATGGTTAGTTCCATTGACGCAATGATTTATTCTTACTTTTTTGTTATAAGAACAAATAATTGTTTCATTCACTGTATATGCACCTGCATATGACTTACCAAAGAGAGACAAAAACGTGTCATTAAAGGGAAAAAAATTGCCATCGAACTGCTCCCGCGAACTCTGAAGTATCGACGGCAATTTCTTGCTCACGAGGATTTATCAACCATGACTGCACCAGACCAGGGTACATACTAATTTCAGACTCCCGTTAGAGGTCTTTCAAGAAAATTGTTCCTCATTTAATTGCCATAATTATGATTTAAAAATACAAATATACACATACACATCTCATATACAGGGTGTATAAAAAGTAATCCAACTTTGGCATCGTGCATTATATATTACGTCTATCCATTTACGTTTTTCATGCCAATAAAGATCAGGCTTTTAGCTGTCGAATAGCTTTCTTGTATCATTGCGATAAAAAATAATCAATACTCTACGACCCGATTTAAAAATTCCGGTCGAAATCGCATTTTTCCACCGTTGGGAATTACATAAAAAGCTATTGTCTGAGTATTAAATTGTTCTCATTTGGGATTGAAATTGAATTCCCCGATTAAACATGGCGCAACGCAAGTGTGAGCATCAAGTTTTGATAAACTTTTATTCGCGATTTTCCACCGAAATTAACTGATATAAAAACGAAGGCGAGAGTTTGTATATCAGATAAAGATCGGATGCGACCCATCTTATGAGTTCATTGGCGAAGTAATTTTAAAAATAAACATTGTCTAAGCAGAGGAAATCAAAGCTGAAGTTTATGTAAATCATGACAAATCTTTATGCGATTTACCACAGGCGGCTCAATCTCAGAATGAATGATCAGGTGTTGAGGGTTTTTAACGGTTTTTATAAACAAATTTATAGTCAACCAAAACTATTCTAAAATGTGTGTGCTCATTATATATAATATAACAGTAAAAGGCTAATCACAGGCGGCACGACCGCATCGCCTTCAAAGTCAAATATCTCCGCTCAAATTTGTCGAACGCCAAAACAAATTCGATTACATCTTTTCACAAAGTTTTTAAATAATATGGTTTGATCATAGTTTGGGCAAATTTAGCGACGAACGGAACAAAAATCTCCTCAACTTCGTCACGTCCACGATCGTGCCCGAGCAGCCCTAAGTATTTTGAACAGTATCCGAAATTGAGGAGATTTTTGTTCCGTTCGTCGCTAAATTTGCCCAAACTATGATCAAATCATATTATTTAGAAAAAGAAATCTTTGTGAAAAGATGTAATCGAATTTGTTTTGGCGTTCGACAAATTTGAGCGGAGATATTTGACTTTGAAGGCGATGCAGTCGTGCCGCCTGTGATTAGCCTTTTACTGTTATATTATATATAATGAGCACACACAATGTAGGCCACAGAAAATGTTACATCAACCGCTCTAAATGAGCTGATGGATTAATTAAAAGAATGCAAAGGTATTATACTATCGGCATGTCAACTATATTTTATTGTTAAAATGTATTTATTTGACTAATTTGAGAACGTTTTTAGAATAGTTTTGGTTGACTATAAATTTGTTTATAAAAACCATTAAAAACCACAACACCTGATCATTCATTCTGAGATTGGGCCGCCTGTGGATTTACAAACATTGATTAAGAATTATTGAGTTTTATAAAACATTTTAAAACACTGGAAGCTTGCAGTCTGGACTCATAATGGCAGACTGGACTTATAATGGCATATGTTTCTCAAATGGGCAACAAACATTTGGGAAAATGTTCGAAAATTGGAAGAATTAACATTTAAACTCCAAAGGTGGAAAAATGCGAATGCAACCGATCACTTTAAATTAGATCGCATATGGTCATTTTTTATCGTAATCATTTCACAAAGGTGTCAAATGGCAGCTAAAAGCCTGATCTTTATATAAATACGAAAAAGAGAACTATTGACGTATTAACGCACGATAACATGTTAAAGTTGGGTTACCTTCTTTTATACACCCTGTATAGGTGTTTATATTTGTTCATCCAGGTTAAATATTTCCAAACAGTTTTGTTTTGTTTCGGTTTCTTCTACGGAAACCATTCTCAACGACTTGACGTTTATTAAACCTTAGAGGAAACCGAGACGTTAGACAAAACCAGACATATAGTCCATATAGTACTCATTGATACCAGTGATTTAGGTCAGAACAGACGGAGCTCTATAATGTGATATTGCTTGATGTGCTGGCGTGCGGTGTAATAGTTTAAGCTTCATACAATCCATCTTTTTACCACCGTCATCTTTAACAATTTCAACATTGTTGTTATTCGCCTTAAATAATCAAGAATTCAAAACAGGAATATCAAAAATTGGTAATAAATGAATTTATAAAAAGTGTTGTCTCGTTGATACTTACGAGTTGCAGAGAAGCCAGAAAATATCGACAGACTTCCCATGGCTCCTATTGGAGATGAATATAAAGATTTGTCAATAAAAGTTGGCAAGAACTGGCAAATATTCTTATGCCCGGATCTGAACGATGAGAGTTGGCAGTCACGTGATCTTGATTAGTTGCCTGAATGCTTTGCAAACACTATCATGCATTCTATTTAAGATTTTTTGGCACCTTGCTCGATAGAACAGTTGAAGGGTTCATGCAGGTTGATATTTCAAGCGGAAGATTATATACAATTTTAGACCTAACCATGCAGCGAAGATGCAAGTATTAACAATTATTGAATGAGGTTGAGCACGATATGAAGAATTATCAAGCCCGAAGTTTGCCGTTATCAACCGAAGCCTGAGGTTGATAACGGCAAACTGAGGGCTTGATAATTCTTCATATTGTGCGAAAACCGAATTCAATAATTGTTTTATTATTTATTTAAAAAAATCAAAACCAACGGAAGCCATTTGTATTTTATTTGTTAAATAAGAAAAAACAATTCTTTAGTCCTTCGGCAGCCGTTGTCGTCGTCATATCAATGGCATCAGCGAGTGAATATGATTCGCGTCGTCATAGTAATATGGCGCAAACGCGTCCAAATTTTTTTCATATTGACTCTTTGACGTCATTTTGCTAATATGAATGTGAAAAATCCATATTTGGTTAGCCATTGAGTTGATATGACAATTTGACAGTTAGCTGTTAGCCAATCAGAAACCAGGAATTTTTTAAATAAATAAATAATAGGCCTTATATAATCTTTCATTCTACTAAGGAACACTCATCCAACCTTTATTTTCTTAACCTAGAGCTTAAACTGACCCCGTAACAACGCGTGATTGCCAACTCAAATCAACATCCTCGTTTGACCGTGGCTTTACAGAAATAATAGTAATAAGCAATCAATACCAGCATAAAACAGATTCAGTTCCTGTAAAGGCCCGTTTACACTTGCAATTTTTGCTGCAATTTTAGGTGTGACTTTCTTCTCCTCATGTATGTGAACGAATTCAGGAATGTTTAGATGAGGGTACATATGCTCAGAGCATTCATAACTTATTTAATCGTTCACATCCATCAGAAGAAGAAAATCGCACTAGATATCGCAGCAAAATAATGTTTTCATTGATTCGTTACGTATAGGGCCTTCGCTCGAAACGTCGAATTTTTCTTATATATTTTCAGGTAGTTCATCCTTACCAACGAAAGCTGGAACATAATGTAGCCTATAATAAACTCACGGCTGAACCGTGCTAAGGTTCCATTGCACGATCAAGAATTTTTTTTTTCAATATCACCTAATCACAATCAGCCAATTAAATTGTGACAATTTAATAAGGTATGAAATTATTTAACATATAACTATGAAATTATTTATACTATATCTCTCATACAATATAACCGCACGTGACTACAAGAAGTAACAATATAGTAACATTTCCTTGTGGCGAGGAGGTGAACGCACCTGACTTGGAACTACTTCTTCAAATGATTTTTCTGGTGCGTCTTAACAAGTTGAAAAGAAAACATAGTCAGTCACTATAGGCCCATTTAGAAGATACGACTGGCGTATGAAAACGACTGGTGTATGGAAACGACTGGTGACGCCACTATTCCTGGTCATCAGTTTATGGCGAAATTTGAAATGTGACATCTTTATACGCATTTATTCGAATACATACGCCAGGATAAGAATCGTATACGACTACTCGTATCAAGTAAATGGGCCTTAGCACAAATACCAAGAGACTGCGCACGTTCAAGAACGTAAGGGTAAGAGAAGAACGTAAGGGTAAGAGAAAAGGAAATACATATCCATGCAAGTGTTAATGTAAAAATGATTATCGCAAAATATATTTTATTAAGTAAAATTTGCATTAAAATTTTCTTGACGATCGTAAATACAAGCAAATTTCATGGCAACATTGAGATCATGTCACACATACATTGTGGTGCACGGAACATCCGTGCATATTGTTTTTTAGGGTCTTTATACAATGTAACTTCTTACCTTCAAACCTGGCCAGCAGCTTTTCTCCATATTTATGAATATCATACGGGCGATGTGTATCCTACGTATCATACGAAAAAGCATTTGTAACATCACTTGTGCATTATCTCTCTAATTAAAATTTTCACAAAGGGTGGTAATCATCATCCCACGCGTATATAGAGTGACATCATCGCACTAGACATTTTCCAAGCGTTGAGTATCCCAAGAAAGCATTTGTAAGATCATTCGTGCATTAGCTAATTAAAATTTTCAAAGGGTGGTGACATCATCCCACGAGACACTTTGTTATGTTGAGTCATTGTGAAATTGTAAATGTAATTCGTATCAAGTATCACAAAGGCTTATTACAGGCAAAAAGACGTTCGCGTAATAACTTTAAGACTATTGCCCGACGATTCCCAAAACTTAAGAATACCTTACATTTTTGTAATTAAGCCAGCGTTGGATTTCTAAATACAGCTTCATTTGATGATAATTATTGATATTTCAAATCACTACATCAAACGACTCAATTCTATATTATATATATAATAATAGGATACAACAATTATTTATATTCCAGTGAAGCTTTGGGAATGTTTACCTCATTTTCAAGTTTTGGAACGACTTTTCTCTCCCAGTCTTGTACTCTTTTTGATAGATCTGTTTCTTGAACGTATGTTTGAGCTTGTACAAGAAATCCTTGCTGAAATTAATCATGTTATCAATACTACATTCAGCTGAAGATGCCTGAGAAACCCTGATCAGGGCTTTCAAAATTGTTTTAAGTTAGTGTCTGTGGTTAAAAAGTAGGCGGCTGCAAGAATAATTTTACAAATATGGGATAAGTTTTAACAACATTTCAAGCGCGGCCATTTTTTTTGTCCAGTTTGTGGCTTCATCATTTGGTAGCTTCAGCTAAGCTTGTTTACTGCAGCATAAGAATGGATAAATTCTTGTTTGAAAGAAATGCATCATTAATTAAAAGACGCTAAAACGCCAGGATTTTGATAGATCCTTTATCTCACTGTATTTATAGCATTTTTTGTTATTAATAGAGCAACATGTAGTTAATGTCAAACATCACTTCTATGTGTTTGTTCTAGCTATTCTCTTGCCAATCGTAGAACGTTATAAATTCAATGAAAAATAACAGATTTAGAAGTGCATGTAGGGTAATGTTTTAAAGAAATTAGCTGTCAATAAACTTCGCAACACCTGCCGGCTTATTTTGAAAGCTCTGTGTTTACCAAAATTTTCACACATAAGTTACCAATGGTCGCTTAACGCTCCTATTACTTTACCATACATTAACACAATGTAAGGTAATCCAAAATAATACGATGCTGTACAGTACTATGAACTGAACTGCTGGTTACTGTTTTTACATAACAATAGCAATACATTATCACTATACATACAGTACACATACCACATATTTTCGAACCAGTTCTTCATAACTTGACACCACTAATTCATCGGATTGTTCAAGTGCTAAGATAAACATAGACGTACGTTCGAAATCAATGACTTAGTCATAATTTAGTCTCTTAAAATAATACAATAAATTCATGGATTATCTTTCAGAACCATCCACAAAGATTAGTTTTCTGATTATGGCGGGTTTTTAAATTATATTTGTCCAAAACATCGTAGACTGCTTCTGAGTCGTACATGATATATTTACTGAAGCTATAAACTTTAAAAGATTTGAAATAATTCTGACAAAGAGATGGAAAGAGACTAAGGTAAAAGGTGGATGGAGAAGACGTAATTGGGAAAAGGAAGAA